TATTTAAGCTATATCTTCTGTTCTTACATGCTGAAGGTACCTCGTCCATTTGCTACATGCATTCGATGAACCTCGCAGCTCAGTGTATCAAGGATTCATTGTGTTGTCTTTGTTGCAGTCTGTTTTAGGCTTTGTATTACATCCTCCCATCCTTTTGTTTCAGTAAAAGGGCTCTGCACATCAATTAGTTGAATCTCACGAAAGTGGTGAAGAACATAATCTACTCATACTGTATTTAATCCCCAAATCATATGAAATATAATAAAATAAATTAAAGCCTGACTACAATAGCTTTGATTTGTGGAATTTAAATAAAACATTAGTAATTAAAGTGAAATTAAACTCATAAAGTGTTGTATTATCATTATTAAATTAATTCAGGTTTACACACACATATATATATAAATTATAAATTTCCCCCATCTATTTGGATTAATATTGAAAGCGATATGAGTAATAAGCTCATATATTCGCTATGCATTCCATTGTTGTGAATTGGTAAGTTTCGTCAGGGTGTGAAGAAATATAGAGCTGAGTATCATTAGCATAAGAGTGAAAACTAATGCCATGCTTCCTTATCCTATCTCCCAAGGGTAGCATGTACAGAGTGAATTGCAGCGGTCCTAATACTGAGCCTTGTGGTACGCCATAACGCTATATTTAACTTGCGATCGATAAGACATCTCTTCCTTTACTGCTACAAATTGATAACGGTCAGATATGTATGATTTAAACCATTCTATATACATATTAATTTCCCCATCTATTTGGATTAACATTGAAAGAGAGATGAGTAATAAGCTTTTGAAAAAAATCGACCTCTTTCTGAATATATGCTTATTATTTATTTTTCTTAAAAAGGAACTGTATACTTTAATATATTAACTACAACAAAGTCAATTAACTAATCAAAATTAATGTTTGGACAGTTTCTTAAGGCATTTCATGCAACAGGGAAAAAGATACAAAGGTAAAAGATACGTGCTGGGAAAAAAAATTGATGGAGAAAATTGGATCTAGTCCAATAATATACAATGCATCTGTTGTTATATACCAGCCCGATCTCATGAAAGTTCGTATCTATGGCACGAATGTCATTTCTCGTGGCATTTATACGCCAAAAACAGTTTTTGCGTGTATATGGCACGCGATTTTCGCGTACATATGATACGCACTTTTTTGCGTATAATACACACGAACTCCCCACCCCCCCCCCCCTAACCCTTATGAAAAATAAGTATATTTCAAGTTCATTTTATGTAGTATACTTAAGTAATGTTCAAGTATATTTTAAGAATTATGTAGTAAGTATACTAATGTCACTATGTACTAGTAGTAAACTTGTAAGTGCACTATTTTAATACCGCTTGGGACTAAATTGGCCCACTTTTAGTACATAAAAGTATATGTTTAAGTGTAAGTGTAACAGTAAGTGCACAACTAGTTCATAATTATGTATCTCATGTGTACTGCAAGTGAATTTATGGGTATACTAGTAGTTTACTTTTTTACTGTAATACTTATACAAGTATACTTTGAATACTTAATTATACTTTTAAGTATTTCTGGATCAAAAGATTGAGTACAAGAACATACTTGCTTTTCTCTCAGTATAAGTCAAGTACACTTAAGTGTAATTTGAAGTATATTTCTGAGAAGTACATATAGTATACTTCTGAGAAGTACAGGAAAAATGAACTGAAAGTATACTTTCTTATTTTTAGTTTAAAAGAAGTATACTAATGGCACACTTGAATAAACTTCTTTTTCGTAAGGGAAACCTAACCCAGGGTTTTTTAGTGCGTACCATATACACGAAAAAAAAAAAACTTTTGGCGTATAAATGCCACGAGAAATGACACTCGTGGTATAGATACGCATCTTCATGAGACTGTGTTGTATATACAGTATGTGAACATGATAGTCTTCAAAACCATCCAAATTTCAGCACTGCTATTATGCGAAACCCTAAGTGCTAACAGTAAGCATGAAAGAAATGCGAGTTTGATTTCAGCAAATAAAGAGCACTTTGTGCTTCATGCACTTGTGTTGTGCATTTGAACAAAAGAACTATTGAGTTCTCAATTATTCAGGCAATAGTACAGTCCTTATTATAGAGAGTTAACTACAGCAGTGCCACCATTACAACATGAAAGGATCAGCGAGATTCGTGAGTGCTCTTGTTCTACCTCATATTTCAAATGAAATGAGAAATCACATCTCCAGCCGTTTTTGATCTGCGTCGAGCGAAGGGAACGCGACCTGTTTACCTTGTTGCGAGGGAGGTGAAATGGCTGATAGGAATCGGGGAGAGTTATGAAGCCCGCAAGGAGGCCCAGAAGGAAACATTACATCAAATTAAGAATAGCAACCTGTTTTAATTAGACAGAAAATAAATAGATAAAAGTGGGAAATGCCAGTCCCTGGAATGTAATTGGGTTTTATTGGTGTGTTATCAATGGCACCCTGGGAGCAGTGTTTCAACAAACAGCATTAGGCTTTTATGGCTCGTACTGCATTAGTGTCTGTATTTCTCACCTTTGTACTGCGAGAAACATAATCTTGCACCACTGAAGTCCTTTCCAAGGTCTCAGCTTTTCTCAGAGCCTTGTAGTAGCCCAATTAATGAGACATGTTTACACCAGCTTTTAGTCTTGGTATGTATTTCTAACTCCAGCATGAGGTACTGTATACTTTATACAATGTTAATTTTAATAATGTTCATTTTTTTTTTGCACAACATTGTTGAAACTGAGTGTTTTTGCAAGTTGTTTTTATATCCACCACGAATGTTAAGGTCCAAAATGAGGTAGGCCACACTGGGATGCTTTATTCAAGGTCGTCTGAAGCCATGCATTTCACCAACAGACTGAAATTTCATTTGTGATTCACTTATAATCTTCCCCTCCAGTGAGCTTAACTAGAGAACTACCAGTTCATTGAGGCAGTGATTTTCTTGAACAAATTGTTCAGTTCGTTTTGTGAACAAGAACAGCTGATTCTTTGGACATGAATGAATAAAAAAAGTTCACTGATCTGGTTCTCAAAATAGCAAAATGGCAGTAATGGAGTCTGATTGTGCCCTAGTGAAAAAGTTTGGTACTGCGCTCAAACAAAATCTTACTGAAAGCTCATTTTTTTGAGATATCAATATAAAATTTGAAACACAACTTGTTCAGATTTTTGGCTTTGATCTTTCTGCCGTTTTAGAGTAGCCCAGGTTTTGAAAATATATATTTTATGTAAAATATGAATAATTAATATTTTTACATTGTACATTCCCATAAACTCAAACTTCTATAACTTTTTTTCTGTTTCACTTTCTTAATTTATTTCACTTCTACAAAAATCTGCCAAATGTCTTCTTTAAAACAAGACCAATCATATGTCTATATTCCAAAGCATTCTTGAATTACAGCCATTTAAGTTCGAAATGTGCATTTTCATGTCTATTCAAAAAAGGGGGGGTGACAGTTAAGAGGTTAAAGTCCCCCTATGGTGAAAATCCAGCTTTTAATATTGTTTATTTGTGGTTTTTAATACGTTTTAAAGCAAACCATGTGTACATTCATAAGTTGACAGCATTGTTGTGTATCTCCTCCTTAAAACTGCAGGGAACCAAATATCTCTAAGCTGAGTGAGTGAGTGGAGGCGGGGCTCATTTGCATGTTCATAGAACCACACATACTAAATGAGGCAAGGGTGTCGAGTTACATTCAAGCTAAGGAAAAAAACATTTCAATGTGTAATTTTGATGATCAAAGACGCGTTTTAAGGCATACGATCAGTGACTACATGGGGACTTTAAGCAAAATAATTCTTCTTTTGGTCACACTTTATATAAGATAGCCTTAACTCTTTCCCCTCCATTGACTATATTTTCTGTCATTCCGAGGCAAGAAGTAGTTTAGTTCGGTTTTTATTTATTTATTGACATTAACATTCATGCAAATTACATTCTGGGGTCATCTGAGTATTGTGAATATGATCAAAAATGTTGTCGCTGACTGGAAACTTGAAAATAAAAATGCTGGCGGGGAAAGTGTTTACTCTTTGATACAATATACTTATTACATGCACTGTAATAACATTGTTATTACATGTGACCCAAGTACAGTATGTGCATTTAATTAACATTTGTAATTACCCCTAACCGTAACCCAAGCCTTACCCCAAAACCAAGCTCTATACCCTAATACCCTAACCCAAATATTCGCAGTAAATGTGGGAATTTTCCAGAACTACATGTTGTTACATAGTGAATCATGTTTGTATGTAGTAGTTCAGGCCAACTCATAGAAAGTGTGACCCTTCTTTCTTTCGATTATGAAATGAAATATGCCCCAACATATCAAGGAAATTTCATGTTCTTGACAACTTTGTGAGATTTCACCCATTTGTCCACCAGATATAAGCAGATGCTAAGCTATGGAAGCTTGTTTCCACCACAGATGATAACATTTTAAAAGATATTTGTGACTATTTATCTCACAATTGCGAGTTTAAATCTCCCAATTCTGACTTTATTTCTCAGAATGGCGAGATCTAAAGTCAGAATTGCTTGTTATTAAGTCAGAATTGCAAGACAAACTCACTTTTTTTAGCAATTCAGACTTTATAACAAGCAATTACGACTTTAAATCTCGCAATTCTGAAATCTTTTCTGATTTGTGAGATATAAACTTTATTTAGATTAGTTTATCAGATTTGTAATTATAAAAATAGACTTTTTTCCTCAGAATTGCAAGTTTCTATCTCACAATTGTGACTTTATGACATGCAATTGAGACTTTATATCACGCAATTCTGACTTAATAACACAATTCTGAGATAAAAAGTCGAACTTGCGAGATTTAAACTCGCAATTGTGCGAAAAAAAAAAAGAAGTCACAATTACCTTTTCTATTTTTTATTCGGTGGTCGAAAACACGCTTCCCGTACTAAGCAGAACTAATTCTCAGCATGTTTATTAAATCAGTTTCCCCTTTCTGACCTTTCAGGGTCCCCGTACCGAGATAAGATCACCATCGCAATCCTGCAGCTTCAGGAAGAAGGGAAGCTGCACATGATGAAGGAGAAGTGGTGGCGAGGAAACGGCTGTCCCGAGGAGGAGAACAAAGAGGCCAGTGCGCTGGGCGTCCAGAACATCGGGGGCATTTTCATAGTGTTGGCCGCGGGACTCGTCCTCTCTGTGTTTGTGGCGGTCGGGGAGTTTCTCTATAAGTCCAAACAAAACGCTCAGCTGGAAAAGGTAAAGCAACACTTTCACAATTCTGGACTGCAATGAACATTTGTAATCTGTTTGGATATACATAAAAGAGTCTAGGGTTATTATGCACGTCCCTTCAGAGATAACAAATCGCATATAATCACGAGAAATGGGAAATTGTGGGTAATATAAGGCAGCCAGTCAGATGAGTCCAACGAGTATGAAAGGGTCTGTTTCAGATCAATGCAAACGATATTAATTCTGTCTAAAATGAGCTTTAATGTTGTGGTATTGAGAGCAAAGCGTGAGGTATATTTCACTGGTAATATTTTACAGACAGAGCCTGTTTCTGGAGAGAAAACAGTCCTTCTTGATGTAAGTCTCTGAAGACAGAAGGGCTTTACTTGTGCCATCTCACCTCGACAGATGTGTTGTTCGTTCCCTTATCCACTTCACTCGAATACTTGATATACTGAATAAAACCAGAACAAAAAAACTGCTTGGAAATGAATGAACTCCAGTTCTCTCACTATCATCACAAATATGATGTTTAAGTACATTTTGACTCTAAAGGTGATGATACACTGGGCAACATTTGAGCAATGCCGTCAACGGGCAACCAGATGAGACACGGCCCGCGACCGATCGAAATTATCCAGATATAAATGTATTCCCCATTTTCAATGGGAAAGTGCCCAAGCAACAATTGCTCGGCAACATTGCTCAAAAAGTTGCCCTGTGTATATCATCACCTTTACAGAATTGATTTGCCAAATTCAATTCTACACATGGGCTCTGATTTCACTCACCAGACCAGGGAAAGGCAACGAGAGAGCCGCTGTCCTGCAGAGTTTAGTTCCAACCCTAATCAAACACACCAGAACCAGCTGATCAATACCTTCAGGATTACTAAAGCTCAGGCAGGTGAGGGTTTCTCTTCTAAACTCTGCAGGACAGCGGCTCTCCAGGACCAGTGCTGCCGATTCCTGCACTAGACTGTAGTGCAGGTTTGCTTGATAATACAAATTTGTTTATTGAGTTATTGGTGGGTACGGATTTTATGTAATTTTAATTCTCTATTATTATTATTAACTTCACTGGAAATTCTGTAGTTATTGTGTCTTTTTTTTTTCATTGAGTCTTCTGTAAAATAACCAAATGCCACTTGAGTGGACGGAAAACTAGTGTCTAGTTCCCTTTGCTTTTGCACGGTCCTATTAGAAATGTAGGTTCCACTTTATATTCGGTGTCTTAAACTAAGGGAAGGCTCAACAGTGTAATTATAAAAAATATTTCAGAATTGACTTTTTTTTTTAAATGTAAGTATAATGTAAAATCTTTGTATGTAGGGAGTGAGTGCATTGTATCCAATGATTAATTTAAATGCTAATACACAGTAGTCAAAGACACCTAATATAAAGTGAGAACACATTTTATTAATCAATTATGATATATTTGTCATAATTTCTTCACTTTCTCCACCAAGCCTTCATTTTTTAATGTAACTGAAAGAGATCATTTAATTGTCCATGTTTATTTTTACAATAGTGTTTTGGAGTCAATACATTAGCTCGTTATTCTGTAATCAACAGCGAAAAAGGAAACACAGGCTCATTGGAAAACAAATAATGATTACAGGGCAGAATATCAGTTTATAAAGACTTATTTTTGTGCGGTTTCTTGCACAATACTCTGTTAAGACGTGAAACCGCTTTAGTCTCTGACCTCAGATAAAGGTGCTATCGTGCATGATTTGTAAACCAATACATTTTGAAGTTTCCATCCCATAATTAGCTCCATATTTCTGATGCAGTAAACTTGCTCAGTAGCTCACCTTATACAGCAGTGCACTTGTGATGTGAAGCACAAGTCATGATAAAAGAGCTCAAAAACATGTAGAAGGAGCGAAAATGGCACTGTTGGTTCAGCGTTGGTTCGTGAGATAAAAACACAATCAGCTATGTCAACACTATCTCACGACCAATTCGTACGAATTCGACGCATTATTAAAAAGTGTCTAATTCGTACGACCTCACTCGTACTAATTCGTACGATTTGTCTAAACCCCCGTGATGGTTAGGTTTAGGGGCGGGGTTAGGGGTAGGTCATTTGTACGAATTCATACGAATTGGCCAATTCGTAAAATATGTACTATTTAGCAAAATCGTATTAATTCGTACGAGTGAGGTTGTATGAATTGTTACGAATTAGCCACTTTTTAATCATTCGTCGAATTCGTACGACTTGGTCGTGAGATCGGGTTTACTATGTTTATGATATACGTACAATAACCAACGCAATAAAACTTCGCGTTTATATTCTTCTGATTAAGCTGAACACGCGATTATCATCACTTTGAAAGTGTTACGAAACATGCAAGACGCAATGCAATATTGTTTTGCCGAAATGTGACCACAGGCACAATGAGGTTCCAGTGAGTTTAAAAAAATGCTGGGTTGTTTCAACCCACATTTGAGTAAACTTTGTACAAACCCAACCGTTGGGTTCAAAATTTAATTGAAAATTGTAAACCAATGGTTGGGTTTCTCCATATTTGACCCAAACATGGATTTAAACAATCCAGGATTTCATCCTATTTGCATATCATAATTACTTTAGTATGGAAGCCAGGAACGGCCACAAATATTTGCGAATAGCAACATAAAATGAACCTGCAACACTTTTTTCTCACACTCTAAAAATTGTTGGGTTGTTTTAACCCAACTTTGGGTCAAATATGGACAAACCCAGCCATTGGGTTACTTCTTAATTACATTTTTAACCAAACGTTTGGGTTTGACAATATTTGACCCAAAGTTGGGTTAAAACAAACCTAGCATTTTTACAGTGCCGAGCAAACTGCACAGTGGACAGTGGATGGTCTAAGTTTGGTCAATTTTTAAAGAGGTCTTAGTTTGTTTGAAGCATTCAAAAATTGTACCCTAAATATGGATAAGCTAGTAATGTATTAAGCTGTTTTTATTCAACTACAATAACAGCATTAACCTGCCAGCTTCAGTATCGAGTCCCAAAAAGCACAGCTCTGTTTATTCACTCTCAGTGGAAGAAGTGTCTTTTATACTCATCTCGGATTCACTGTATCGATCTCATAAGTGCTTTTTGTTTGTTTGCTGTAAGCCATCGTATTGACATTCACAAATATTCTGGCAATGTGTTACTTTGCTGCCTGATCCTTGTTTAATGATTGCATTGACTTGATAAGCCAAATGCCCAATGATGTCTGTGGAGACATACAGAAAGAAAAAGACATATGGTTCATGAAATGTCTAACAATTTGAATATGTTGTGTAAATCAGTGGTTCTCAACCGGTTTGGCCATGGTCATTAAGCCAAGACACAAATTTTTAGGAATTTTACTTTATTTTAAAGTACTTTCCCCATGTATTTATTATAGTTATTACAATAACTGTGTAACAACTAGGTACAAACCCTGAACCTACCTCTAAACCTTACCGTAATCTTATATTCACCAGTACTTTAGGTAAGTACGCTGTAAGTACACGTAAGTGCATGTACTGTAAAATAAAGTGTTACCATTTTATTTCTCAAAACGATTGACACACAAACAAGTCTTACTTTACTTACCATAAAAATAAGTTGTAAGAAAATCACTAGCACAGATAAACAAACAGTATAAGGTTGTAGTTTTTGTCTGTATGAGCCATCAGTCACCAAAAATATTGACTGAAAAACTACAGTTACCATATAAATACATAATACGTACATGAATCATTGATAAAAATGATCCTGGTGAATAGAATTAACTGCATCCAAATCCTTCCCAGCTAACACACAGTGTACTAGTTACCTTTTCACCTTTTACCAACGTACTATTCAATTTTTGGTCAATTCATGACTTACTAATTGACAACATTACAATGATATTCCATGCTCGTAATCTCTTTTGCGCTTTATACACTTTTTATTCCATAATAAGTTACACTAGAATAGTGACACTGACATATAGCATGATATCTCATCTGACTGCAGATACTGAATCAGAAATACATTTTGAATTTCATCTTTGTTTTTGTCGTTGTTTCTTTGAGTACACACTCCGCGACACTCTCAAAGCGGTCTTGCGACCCACTGGTTGAGAAACACTGATGTAAATAATGTTGGTTAATGTACTTAATGAGAGTTACAACATGTTCGAAAATGTAGTTTGTTTATATTGATTGTCCCTGGGTTGGCTGTGAGTCTGGGTTCAAAGGTCGCTGAATCTGTAAAGGTTGAAAACAGCTTTTAGACTGATTATTGGCTCAAGTTTATTTATTACAACACATTACAATAAGGTTCCATTTGTTAATATTAGTTAACTACATTAGTTCATCTTTGTTGACGTTAATTTCAATATTTAATCATAAGTCATTAACAATATATATATATATATATATAACAATTTAATGTTAACATTAATAGGCTACTATAACAAATGTAGCTATTGCTCATTGTTAGTTTGTTAGTTAATTCACTAACCAGCATTAACTAAAACAACCTTATTGTAAAGTGTTTTAGTTACCGCTTCCTTTTACAGTACAGTACTTAAAGTGTACTTACCTTGAAAGTACTGGCTAATATAAGGTAAGTACATGGGTTAGGGGTAGGTTTAGGGTTAGTACCTATTTATTACCCAGTAATTGTAATTACTACAATAAGTACATATTATGTACATGGGTAACAGGACTGTAAAAGGAAGCATTACCGTGTTTTAAAGGGGTCCTATAATGCCATTTTTCTACAAGTTAATTTGATTCTTTAGGGTCTAAATTAAAAGTTTGTAATATACTTTAATTAACAATTCTCATTAGTATTATAAGAACACACTCATTTTACCTGGTCAAACACAGCTCTGTTTTCAGCACATGTGCCTTTAAATGATAATGAGCTTCACTGACTCCGCCCCTCTGTTCTGCGGGCGTTTCGACACAACGCTCGTGGAGTGTTGCCTTGACAACACTTGAGGGAAATTTTGGAGAGAGAATGGCAGTGGGAGTCTCTAAGGACACATCTGTGTAACC